CTCCTTGAGCAGAGTGTTTCTGCGGCGTGGCTTCACGTCGTCCTCTGTTCTCTGTCCATCAGCCACTGACGGAGGAGGAGAGGCTTCTGCAGCCACAGATAAATCCTTCACAAACATCTGAGACAGACTTTCTTCCTGTGCAAACGTCTCTCCTGCAGCGTCCTCACAGTGACAGCTGATCTCACCATAAACTATTCTGGGACGGTGTTTGCAGTAGATATGAGTTTTTGGATGTAGTATTACTTTGAATATTCCTCCTGTGCAACATGTGTGATGCATGTGTTACATACTTAGGAGTATTTATAAGAATATATGAAGTGTAGTTCAGTCCTAGTTTTCTTTCAGTTGGATCATAGATCATATATCAGAATATTCTAAAACCAAACTTTTCTTATTTCCCCCCCAGGTTTCAGCTGATTGAAGATCTGTCTTATGAAGATGTGAAGAAATGTTACAGGGGCTCGGTGAGTCCCAGCTCTGCTTGTCAAACAACTACTGTATTACTTCACTGAGGACAATCAGGATGACACTCTGATTACACAGAATATATTGTTGATAAGAGTTCAGTACGGTACTTCTGTTGGCATTCCATTTACTGACATTCATTGGTTCCCTTTTTACCTGTAATTTTATTTAATTATTTATCCTGTTCTATTACGTAATAATGGAAAAATGTAACCAAATTCAACAGTGACTTATGCTCCGACTTCATTCATCATAATTGAGGTGCATTCACTTGAACAGTTTAAGGAATCAGTGAATCCCTGCAGCTCAGGTGGTACAGCAGCAGTCAACATTATCACAGCGCTGTTACACCTCTAAGATCCACATGACGGAGGACAGGAGCTAACAGGGGCTAATAATAGACAGACACAGGCACAGGTGACAGACAACAGCCCACTGAGCAGACATGAGTGGAGAGGAGAAGCAGGGCCGGACCGAAGGAGGGTGGCGGGGGGGAGGGGGAGCGGGGTGTTGCGGTGTCAGGGATGACAAACAGTATCGAGTTCTGGAGTTCTGTGAATGACACGGCAGTAGAAGAGCAACCGACATGGAAAATATACACGTTTGTTTGGAAAAAAGTAATGACTGTTGGGTGTAAATGAACAAAGAGGCGTTAAAGTCAAAGAAACAGATTTGATCTGTGGATTCTGAGGAGTGCATATGGCTGCTGAGTTATGCTGTTTATTCTAGGAGCTGATTAATCAGGGACTGGGCTTGTGTGTGTGTGTGTGTGTGTGTGTGTGTGTATGTATGTGTGTGTGTAGTGGAAAGCAAAGGAGGAAGGAGAGGGAGGGTGTGAGCTGCGTGCAGCGAGGAGTTGCTGTATATGCATTGAGGCAGAGAAAGGAGGCTTTGTATCTGCTGATTTGGTTCTCAGTGCGTGTGTAGTGAGGCGTTAGTGCTGTGACTGTAGTGTTAGTGTGTGTGTGTGTGTGTAGACAGTAGCCGTAGCACAGGCAGCTCTCCTACTGTGTCCTGTACTGACCGGCGACAGGGGAACAGTGTGTTTCTTGCAGCAGTCTGCTCCAGGCCCTGGATGTGCGCGAGTGTGTGTGTGTTTACGGTGCCAACGTGCTGAGCCTGGTGCAGAGCTCCCTGCCGCTGAGGGAGAGGGTGGTGTCTGCGGCCAGCGGAGCAGGAGGGGGCGCTGGTGCTGGTGGTGCCAGTGGTGCTGATGGAGTGTCCAGGGCTGCTGGCACTGTACAGACAGGCCGGTCCACCAAGGAGCTGCTCATGACTCTGCCCTGTCCCTCTGCACAGACTGTCAGCAAGTACAACTCGCAGTACCACAAACTGTTCCAGGGGGTGCCCAAGGATGAGATCCTCATGAAAGGTAAGAGTTGCTCTTTATCACAAATAAAACTCAGTCAAGTTAATGTTTGGTAGAGTAACTTTCTCTTATTGTGGGAAAAATGTTTGTTTTTCAAGTTTATTTGAACTTCACAGTAACTGAAAACTTTTCTATGTCGTATTTCACTTTCATCAACTGATGAAATCTTACTGAATCGTATGTGACAATAGACATTTTCCATGATTGAGATTTTGCAAATAGATCATTGTTTCCCAAAGACTGGGTCGCGTCCCTCAGGTGGGTCTTGCATTATGTTTCCCAGGAATTTGTGAAAAAGGTTTGTGACTTTTAAAACATGGGTCCCCAGAAAGAAAGTTTGGGAAACACTGCTGTAGATGATCATTTCTCCTCTGGTAAACAAAAAACTCAACTGTAACTTGAAACAACTGTAGTTGAGTTGATGTGTTTCTATCACTTACTGTAACTCAACAGAGTGTATAAATATAAACTGAATTACCGACTGATTTGGTAGTAAAATTAGCCTTTACCTACGTTTACATATATATTTTCATATACTGTGCACCACTGGTCAGAGTTTGGTCAGTACTAACACGTCCACAGTTAAGTGAGTACCAAAGGGAATAAACAGAACAAAGAAGTGGTCCAACGTCAGGGCAGAACTGTTGTTGTCCAAAACTGTACAAACGGACATACTGTTCTTTTTCTCCCTTTAGTTTCTATTGTTTGACCAACTTTTGATCGAGACACACCTTTGTGCCTGTTGTCAAACCTCCCACATTTAACACCCCCCCCTTCCCGCCTTCTCCCCCCTCTCTCTCTCCTCAGTTTACTCCTGCGCTCTTCTCAGAGATATTCTTCTGCAAGGCCGACTCTACATTTCCAGAAACTGGCTGTGTTTCTATGCCAACCTGTTCGGCAAAGACATCAAGGTACGAGAAGAAGTCACTGAAGTTGATTAACTGATAATTAATTAACAGATGTGATTATTTATTGATTGGACATCACACGAGGACAGACCTGAAGCTCTGTCTCCCTGGACTGTAGTCAGACTCTGACCTTTTGTGAGTCTTCCTTTTCTTTGTATTAGTTTTTCCTCCGTTTCCTTGAAACCCAAACTCTCCTCAGTCACCGTAAGCCTCTTTATCCAACTGCATTGCTGACATTCCCACTGAAATAAGACACCTTTTATCTCATACACTTGTTTTTGTCCCTGTCCAACCCCAGGGTTGGTGCATTCACTCTGATGATTTAGTCAGGATTTCGTCATCTCTCTTTAATGTTTGTCTCTGTGGAGTAACTGTCTGTGTTTCCCTGCAGGTGTCCCTCCCTGTTGCTTCTGTGAGGCTGGTGAAGAAGCACAAAACAGCGGGCCTGGTGCCCAACGGCTTGGCTATCACCACAGACACGGGCCAGAAGGTAAACACCTCCACGGCAGCCACTGTGAGTTAAAGCCACCGCGCTGATTAGTGAAGCACGGGTGCATTTTTCAGCTGAGGTGTGATGGAAAAAAAAAAACACCGGAGCTAAAGATAGGAGCAGAGCAGAGTCCCCGGCTGGTGGTGGGTTCAAGTGTTGTTGTTTTTTCCACTACTACAGGTCAAATTTCAAAGAATACTCTTCACTTTTTATCACGTCAGACTCAACCTGTCGTCAGGTGCCGGGTCCAAAGATGTTGCTGTGCCTCCGTTCATTAGTAATGATAGGTTAATAAGCAGAGCACATAAATACCCAGAGGGTGATGATGATGATTGTTTTTTTTAATTAACTGTTCTCTTAAATTAATTATTTGTCTGCAGCACAGCCTCTGTGTAAAGGCAAAGGGGTCAAGTCAGGTTGTTTGTAAAATGTTTCCAGGAACAAAAACATACATGAATTATTGAAGGCTTTTGTTTGTTGTTTTTTTTGTTTGTTTGTTTTTTTTAAATATTTCTGAAGGTCTTGAGATTCGTAGCTCAAGGACTTCGCCACAGTTAGTGGGCGAAGACATGCTTTTCATTTGAGCCACAACAGAAAACAATTAGTTTGAAATGAAACTTTTCAGCTTTTTCTGAAATTGTGCTGATTCACTCTGACTGCTCAGTACAGACACCTGATCTCTGCAGCCACGACAAAGTCCTGCTCACGCTTTGTAAATTAGAATCTAAAATGTGACTTTATACCTGTCTGTTCTAACTGGCTGAATGGTCCTCTGGACAGTTCCAGACTTCAGGCTTGAAATGATTACAGACACTGTGGGGTGTTTACATACAGCATATGTATGGAGGACAAATGTCTGGGTCCTTTCTATGTCCACATGGTGATGTAACATAGATTACATAACCGTATGTATAGGAGAGCACTGCAGTCAGTCAAAGACTGGAGCTGGTGCCTTTGTTGTGATGTGGAATTAGAAAACATGTCAGTTATAACATGTTCAACACATGTGAACCTGGTAAACTGGAACTTTTAATTGAAATAAAAAAACATTTTAAACATTAGGAAATGAAAATGTTGAGCTCCTTCTTTTCATTTTAATTTTCTTCTGTTTTTCACAGTATGTCTTTGTGTCTCTGCTGTCGAGAGACAGTGTATATGACATTCTCCGCAGGATCTGCACACACCTACAGGTCAGAGCGTGCACACATACACACACACACACATACACTGTTCATTACAGTGCAGTAACCAGGTGATTTCTTTTCTCTAATCAGGTCAATGGGAAGAGTCTGAGCTTGAAGCAGTTGATGGAGGAGCCGGCCTTATCACTGGTCAGTAACCACTACATCAACCTGGAGCATGTGTGTTAACAGGACCAATTGTGCGAGTCCCATATGGTATTAGGCCCACGTGGATGGTATAAAAATAAAATAATTGAAAGGGTGATTTTTTTGTGATATGAGCTCTGCAGCTGTGGCCTCTTTTGACTTCCTGTGGCCCGAGGCCTTCACTCTCTTCACACAGAGGAAAGATCGATAGACCAGCCTGTGACGGCTGCAGTCAGCCACTGAATTATCCTCAGAGTCAGCGAGACGTTGTCAAACACCTCGGTCAAATCACCTCATAAATGAAGACCACAGAACAGCGACGACAAATAATTGTGCTCCATTGGATTACACGTCCTTTATCATTCTGTTGTGAAGACGGAAAACTGAATATACTCATGGAGCCAACAATGACAGACGGGCAGAAACAACGTGGTATTGATCTCTGTACAGGTCTGCTCTAATGTTGGTTTCAGTTGTGAACACTTTGAAGTGACGGTGTAGCCTCATCATTAAAGTGTCGATGAGTTTGTACCAGTTAGGACAGAATCCATTCATCGACTGTTCACGTTCACATTAGCACTGAAATCATCCGTCATCGTTGGTCATTATCATTGCTACGACCAGAGTAAACACACACACAGAGGGACGACAGGCAACACAGCTGTCTTCTCACTGTGAATCACTCTAATTGATCGTCAAGGCTTCAAAGCAGCAACAGAAACACATTCAAACAGTTACTTTTTTAATTACAGCCTGTCTCCACTAGGGGATTTTGAAACGTCCTGATTTATCACCAAGGAAATCAATAGATGTCTCAGCTTCGTGGACATTTTACAAGTGATAATTGTTAAGTGAGATCAATAATTACTAGTATCTAGACCAGTGTTTCACAACCTCGTTTGAGCCGTTGTACTTGTGCACTAATGTAATGAAATATAATGATCTTCTTGTTTCAGTTGACTCATAATTTACACGCTTTGAAACTTGTGCCTATTTAGTTGAACACAACACAGATATATCTGCAGGAATTGAAAAAAGAAACCTGAAGCTCTTCTTTTTTTTTAGTATTTAGAGCCATCTGCTGCCACCTAGTGGAATGATATTTATTGTTCTTCCTATTGGTGTCGCATTGACGAAAAATGTGAAAAATTATTTGTAGTAAATTGATGATGATAAACTGTTCTACAACTATATTATTCAATGCTGAATAAAACAGAACCAGCTGCTGTTATCAAGTCCCCCGTTCAGGGTCAGCTCATACGGCCCCTTCAAACACTGTTAGTTAACTTGACACTAATCATTTAACTTTCCCATTTTACACACGATCAGCTTCTTGGAATCCATCTATATAGATACAAATCCTACTGCCAACAGTTTTGATTTCATTATTTTATCGCTTTATGACCACAACTCAAAGTTAAATAGGTTGATATTAAACTTTATTACCCCTTAAAGAAGCGTCAGGGTATTTAGTTAGACACTAGGGGGCTGAGTGATGTAGGCGGATAAAGTCAATGAGTCCTAAACAGAAAAGAAAAATAAAGGTGAGGGAAGCAGAAATCTGTAAGATAACACTTTGACCACTGCTGTTGTCTGTGTTTTGTAGCACATCTACATCTACATCACTCTACTTCACCACTAGGTGATGTTTTTCTCCCAGTCTCATATATTTACACCAGCTGTCCTTCTATTTCACAGGACGAGTTTCCAACCACCGATGATTTCCCGGCCGTCGTAGACGATTTCCAGTCAGTGTTAAAGTGGAGAAGGAAGCCCTCGGTGGTGTCTGTGTCCTCCTCTCTCCCTGATCTCCTAGGAAACTCCACCAGCAGCCTGAACACTTCTGACACACCCTTCAAATCAGAGCAGCTGCAGGAAGGTGATAAAACTATTGACATACAGACGAAAACGTCTTTGGATCTAAAGTTCAAGGCCACGCGGTCCGTGTTAAACTTGCTGGTTGAAGTGCCGGGATGAGGGAGGCGATAACTGCTGACAGCTGCTGTGTTGATTAACAACCAAATAAACGCTGCCATTGTGCAGATCAACTGTTAAATATATGTTGAACATAATGCAAAATGGGTGAGTCATTTTCACAGGTTATGATGAAGAGTGTGAAAAGTCATGGGGTTGTGTTTGTATTAGATTAAAGGCAGTGATCAAAAGCTTTTTTGAAAAAAAAAGTATTTATATGGAGTGTATGGATATTGACTGATATCATTCATGTCTTTGACCTCTGTTGGCTGCAGAGTGGAGGACAGGCCACATCAGCCTCTCTCCCTTATGTAATGGAGATTAGATCATAGTGCACTTCCATTAAAAGGCTTTTGCTCAGATGCAGATTAAGTTGAGATTACAGTTTGAAAAAGGATGTCAGCGTACATCGGCGTGCTCCAGCTCAGCTACCATGTAGTCTAGTGTTCTGTTTTTGTCCTCTGTCCAGCAGCACATTCACAACACTGAAAAAACAGGATGTTTTTTGTGTGTGCTGCGTTCAGGTTTTGTGATAAGAGGAGGTTGGCTTTTAGACAGGCAGCGTGGCAGGCTAAGCAGCAGCAGGCAGCAGCTGTGGACTCAGTGCACAGTGTTAATTAATGTCATTTTACTAAAGAGCCCAGCTCTTAGGCCCGCAAACACAACTCAGCATCCTGTGGCTGCAGAGATGCTGCTGTCATGTCTCAGCTCCAAAGTGTTTCCTGTCACAGCGCTCACAGTGAGACGGGACGCCGTGTGCTTGTTTCAGTCCAAATAGTTGGACAGGTGGACAAGCACATAGTCAAGAGACGTCCTCTGTGTGTGTGTTTGTTTTCAGAGCGAGCTCTGCAGACAGATAGAGGTCTTTTATCAGAGCCGGGGGCGGCGGAGCTGGGCCAGATGGAGTACCAGCTGCTCAGGTTCTTCACCCTGCTGTGAGTGGACACCAACACCTCCGCCACCAGTCACACACACACACACACACACACACACAAACACACACACACACAGCTGTGGAATAGTGTATGACAGCACTCCTCTGCCAGATGTGGATCTAAATTAACAGCAGTATTTATACAGATTCACTTGTTTAATTCACACAAGAAAAGCCTGGATTGTCACTGGCTCACATCTTCATTACCATGAATTCAGAAAGAACCTTTAAACTTACATTTATGAATTCAGCAGACGCTTTTATCTAAAGCTACTTACAGAGGAGGACTAACATTATCTAGCATGTTTGTCCTCTGGGAATCGAACCCAGGACAGCTTCTGAGGCAGGCGTGCTAACTGCTACACTCAGAATCACACCAACTTGGCCAAGTCGGTAAAAATCTATCAAATTGAATCCAAGTTTTCCCCTGAGGACGTGACACGTTCTACTTTAGTCTCTGTTAATGTGTGGTTTCAGTCCCTTCATTAACAGCACCATAACGAACAGTTCACAGGTAACTCTGCTGTTTTTTAAAGCAGTTACACAATAATCTGTTATTTTTGGACCGACCTCCTGTGAGAGCCGTAATAATGTTTTTTATTTATTCATTATAATGCTTTAGTAGTTTTCCTTTCTTCAAAAACGTTCCTTATTATGCTGCAGTGTGATTGGCTCAGCCTGACAGACTATTGTCATGGAGGTCTGAGCCAAGAGTGAATCTTGCGTCAGCCAAGAGGCTGCTGAACAGTGGCGTCAATGTGGAGAACTGTTGCCTCAATGCCAACAACATATTACTAGGAATCTTTAAAACAGTTATTATCATTATTACTCTAACTTATAACCACTTTTTAAATTGTTTTTTGTCTTACTATATGACTGAATATTAATATTGGTTTTTTAACTTGGTTTGAATTACACTTTTGTAATGTAACGAAAAAAATGTCACGATGTCCGAATACACACAGAGAAATGTATCGACGTTCTTCTTCTCGATGTTTGTTCAGTCCACGCTCATGGTCCAATCCTTCAGCCACGAGGACCGGCCTGCTGTGAAACAACCATTAATGTCAGTGTTCTTTGTGTGTCTCCCTGCGTGTCTTCAGGATAATCCTCCTCATCCTCTCCTCCTGCTACTTGGCATTTCGTGTGTGCAGTCTGGAGCAGCAGCTCTCCTTCCTCAGTAACACACACCTCCCCCTGAGGCAGAGGTGACACCACCTCAGCTGCACCAACGCTGCTTCAACTGCCAAAACATATCGTTGGATAAAGTCATTATTTTAAGGAGAAAAGCCCACGTTAATATTCCCCTGATCCTCTCTTATGTGGACTGTGGAATGAGGTTAAGACCCTGCAGACAGTCTGGACGGCTGTATGTAAAGTAATGACAGGGCTGTGCCCCTCTCCCCCCCTTTCTGTAACCCATCATATCTCCCGCTCCTCTCTCTGAGGATGGCAGTAAACTCCAGCTCAGATGTAGGAATTCTTCAAAGCCCTGTGGAAACAGAACCTTACAGTACACCAGCCATGGAAAGGAAAGAACAAACTTTCCCTCTTCAGGTTCTGTCGTTAAGGAACCAGTTCCTGTTCAGTGATCACTTCCAGACTATGCAAAACCCACTGTGGGTTTATCTTAAAAGATATCCTAGGTTTCACTGTAGATGGAGAGTATGATATTGAAAGACGCTGCTCAGTCAAGAGACACTGAGCAGGTGACGGTCGTGTGAAAAGACTCCAGCCTGATGTTGGTTTCACAGGTTCCAGTTTAACAGAGCTAATTTGACTGAGTTGAAACATTATTACTTGAAAATAGTTTAGACATTTCAGGTGAGTTGTTGTGACGACATATTTCTACTGTAGCTGTGACTGAACCGTGGACTAAACCACATGTTCTGCTGAGATCTTTCCTCTGCCCTAAGTCTGGAAATGTCAGTTTTGAATGATGCACTTTTTAAAAATATTTTTTTTAGATTATAGTTGTTTGTTTTTGTCTTTAAAGGTACTTTTATTTTCTCAAGTATTTATGTAAAGGACAGCTGACTTTACGGCTGACTCCTGGCTGACTGAAGTTACAAGTCATTTAACTGCAATGAACTGGAGTAATGATGCCCTCTGTTGGTGTCTGCTGTAATGTGAAAATGATTATGTACATAATCTTAGCTGTAAGCCGGGCTAACCTGCCCAGGGTGTTAGTTCTTTATACATGTGAGTTAAAGTCACCAATGACCTGGAATTTTACTTTGAGTGTATTCAGCAAGTGTTTGTGTTATGTATTGATTCAAAAAAGAAAATGGTGAATTATAGACATATTTGTAACATCTCTATAAAATAAACTGACAACATAAAGCATGTGGTAAATATGTGGATGGAAAGTCTTCTTGGATCAATCCACACAACTAATGAACCACTGTGCACACTGACAGTCAAAATGTAAACGGTGGATTAAATTACATTTTTCTACACACACATATATATATTTCTACACACACACACACACACACATATATATATATATATACCTACAAAAGTCATTATTCTAAATGACGTAATCTCATACTTTAAATGTTAACAAATAATATCTTATAACTGCTGACACTGTATGATTACAGTCGGAATGTTATGGTCTGTGATCAGGACGAAACATTTTATTCTATACGGCGTACAACACTGACATCCAGTGGTCACACACCATAGTACACTTCACGTTTGCCTAATTAAACTTCTGAAAATGGTCAATAACAATAATAAAATAAATGAACTAACATTCATGGTTACCCTTTAATCACTTAAACACGTTAATTCCTACATGTTTTTTTATCCACATGTATATTAACAAAAAAAAAACTAAATAAAATAACTATGCAATTACATTATGTAGCTATGAAGCTTACTTATCAGTGATACTAATGATCCAAGTATATGGCAACCTAAAATACTAATTAAGCTTTTTTATTGATAACTAGTTTTATTTACTTAACATTTCTTGTATTCAAAGAGTAGGGGTCGTCTTTCATCCTGGACATGAGGGGTTCAGATACATCTGTGTTGATTCATCACCAATCAACACAGTTAACCCTAATAAACCTGAGCTGCTTCTGTTACTGCTGCCCAGCCAGGATAAAGGGGTGAAGGGTTAGTCAGTGAGGGCATTTTGGGGTAAAAGTCAATGTGGTATAAAGATATGTTGATGTAGCTTTGTAAAAACGAAATACTGTGAGTCAGGTTTTATAATTATTAGCTCAGGCAGAACCTTTTAACCTTGAGAAGTACTCTAACTACATGTGTGTGAATGTGTAGCCACATTTATCAGAGGAATAATAGTGCGTGTTTGTGTGTGTGGGTGTGGCAGGGGGTGGGGTAGGTTGAAGCAGATGGCCAGACAAGCTGCAGCCTCATCCTTACCTTCAGGGAGTCATATTGTCTGTCCTGGGATGCTTGTCAAAGGACCTCTGACCTCTGCGGTGTCAGTGAGTATGACTGTAACTTAACTGTAATGGTCTGTGTATCATCACATTACATTATCTCAGTGGTGCATTAAATGTGTCCACATCTGCAGTAAATACTGTCTGCGTGTATTACAGTCAATCTACTACAGTGTTTCCCACTCACTTTTTTAGAAAAATTCCATGACAGACCAAAACAAGATCAAATGAAAAATAATGGGTTTTTTTTAATTCACAGAAACTTTTACTCATTCAGCATCAAACTGGATCCTGTTTAGCTGAAAACAACCTCGCAGGAATTGATGAAAGATTTTCTTCAACAGTTCTGAGGTAAGACCGCTCTTTTTCTGTATGGCCATACCCTGCCACCTAGTGGTGCTGTATTTAATTGTTGCTGTCACTGTTGCAGAAACAAAAAAGATAGCAATAGTTTACATTCAAACTAGCCAATAAGTTGGTGAAGATATTGGTCACTTTTACTACAATTAAAAGATTTGTGTGATGCAGAGCTGCTGCAGTGTTTTACATCAGAAATGATGGGAATTTTCCAAGAAAAACCGCCAGTAAATAATCATTACATCATTTAGGTCTTAACTGACGTTGACACTAAAAACAAGGTTACCGCGGAGTTATAATCTCTAACATTTGTCCATTTTTCCACAACCTCAAAGGAGCAAAGAGCAAAGGGACCACATGTTTAGAACATGTTTGGATTAGCGGAGGTCGACCGTGACCGCAGACACACCCTAGAGTTCACAAACAAGTCAGATAACGTCACTGTATTTATATTTATACGTGTGTGTGTGTGTGTGTGCGCCCACCCCTGGCTTAGAGCAACACACTGACACCCATCCCCTGGAGAGCTGTTGTGGTGAACATGTGAACACAAGGGGAGGGCCCAAAAACAAAACCTATATCTCCTCATTTCAACACAGATAATCTCCTGTTGTAAACTCCACGTCTAATGTAGGATTATTATCTCATCTGTATTTAAGTGTGGATAATTTACTGCAGTTTAAACGATGCTATCGCTGCTCACCTTAAGACACTGGTGTGGAGGAGGAGCAGCATCAGCTAACAACTAAATCCTCCCTATAGGTTTGACGATAACACGATGTCCTTCTGTCTGGATTATCATCTGCACTTCATCAGCTCTCTCCTCCCCCCACTCCCCTCGTCCCCTCTCCTCCTTCCAGCAACAATAACTCAGAACAGCAGGATATGTGGTTGTCAAACTCAGCGTGTGCTCACTGACTTTCCACAGAGTCGGTGGTTCCGGGTGTAAGAGTTCAGCAGAAGACGCACACACACCAAGAAAGGCAGAAATACCTGTCATTATTTCTATACTTTTTACGCAGTAAAACACATAACGGGTGTTTTGAGCAGTTATTATACTCTGACTACAACAATGTACCATGTATTTATCGTGTGTTTTGATTGTAGCTGTTAGCGTTTTATTCCTGTAATATTTTAGTCCCTGATCTCATTCCCCTTGTGTCATTATCCTGTTTAAACCCTGGGAAAACAGTTTTAACTCTGCACTTTTATTAATTTTATTGCTTCTATTATGGTGGTGTTTTCATAGTGGATTCTCGTCAGTGGGGAATTTTCTTCAGTTCTTTTCCCTGCCAGCAGAGGCTAATAAAAGTCAAACTTCACTTATATCCTGTTAACGGTTTACAGATTTCCTCGAATATCTTTTTAATGACACGGCCCTGCTGTTCTACATCATACTTTAAGATCTCTGGGGCCGGTTCCTGACTTTGTTGACTATTTCTGCAGGGTCACAAAGTCATATTGAACCATGACGATTCCTGACTCCAGGAAGTGCCATGAACCAGCCTGGCTGGCACTTCTGCATTTCTCCGCTGCAGTTTTTTTGACATGAATCACACTTCATCAGCCTTATCACTGGTGAAATCCTCATACATATGACTTATTCTGGTTTAGATGCGACCTATAGGACATACAGAGGGCTACCTGAGTGGGACAGACTTCTGGACCGTGGTGTCATGGTCTCTGTGAGCCTCCTCCAGTTGCTCTACATGCAGCCAGAACCATTGCAGGTTGTTGTAGGTGGTTGCAGATGTGCTGTGACAGGACATGATGTCATGTATAAAAATATCCAGAGAGGCCAGAGACATTCATGAGCCGACGTTATGGAATTTCGATGAGTTTAGGCGTGAGTGTAAGGGCATGTTGGTGAACTAATATGTACTGAGTCAGGGCCTCAGGAGGTAATGAGAACCATCTGCACATCCTGAGGAAGAAGAGCTCGGCTGCTGCTGCTGATGCTAATGGAGGCATGTGTTTGTGTTTGTTTATGAATGAAAATGAAGGTGGATATCTCCACATCTGGGCCCTGCACCACAAAGGAAGTCCAACATACTGATAGGTGATTCAGTGATTGGACTTCATCAGGGCTGACACTGTGGAGCAGGTTCTGTGTCTGTGAGGTTTGTTTGGATTTAGGTCTCAGGTGTTTTCAGGTGTAAGATCTTCGACTTATCTACTCAGGCTTTATTAAATCTGAACCAGGGATGTCAAATAATGTGGGCCATCCCATATTATTGGCCGATATTAGCATAATTATAGAATATTGGTAAGAATCATATTTTCCTCTGATGATGAAACCCTGATAACGCAAATTTCAGAATTTGTATCACTATTATTCAAATTGTGCTTCTGTTCCAAGTAAAGTGATGTAGAATTAGTTAAGTTTAACAGTTTAACAAATTCAGTCAGTAAAAGATGAAGATCTTTTTTTTCATTTACAATTCACAACATTTTTGATTTTGCATTTATTAGTTCGATTATCAACTGTGTTTTTTTTCTTCTAGAATGAGTTCACCGTTGAATGAATGTCAGGTTGTGTCTGGAGGTTGTCAGCTGTAAAATGAAGTGATCGCATCAACAACTCATCTGTGGCCCAGTTACTGGAGTTGTTGCTCAACACTATGGCCCACCAATGTATACATGCATTTCTTAAATGGAATTCCCAGCTGTGTGTGTTGTGACTGAG